GCCTGGCCTAGGGAGGATTTTTAAATTGGGTTTTTTAGAAATTTTAATTATCACAACACTAAAATATTGGTTTTAATTTGGTTTTATTCGGTGGGGTGTGTGGGTCTCTCTTTGTTTTTAATAATGTTGTGAGCCGCCCTGAGTCCTTCGGGAGAAGGGCGGGATACAAATTGGAATAATAAATAAATAAATAAATAAAATAGAGGAGCATGGAGAGTGCTGATCCACAGAATGGCCAAGGATTGGACATGACTGAATAGCTGATAGTGATGATGATAGCAACTATACTTTATTTTAAATGTCTGCAGTGGTGGGGGAAAGGAGTAAGTGGGGGAAAATAAGTGCATCATGACCCAAAGTCTGTGATTCAAATATTTGCATCCACTGTTTGTGAATTACAAATATAAGTTTGCATCCAAATGTCACTACAGGGGTTAGATTTTTTTTAATTTCATGGATAACAATTGGGTTGGGTACCTGTTGTGATTAATATAGTGATTAGTATTAGTATAGTATAGTGGATCTGACAATTACTTTGTGAAATGTATTGCTTCTCCTAGCACCCAGATTTTAAAAAGTCTCCAAATGTATATGGATAAACCTTCATCATCCTCAAAGGAAGATATTTAAATTGCTGGTATCTTCTGAGTTTTGACTAGATAATTTTTCCTATTCTAAATTTTTATCATCTATTTTGGAGATTTTCCTTTGATAGCAAATTGAGTAATGTAATCAGTACATTTAGAAAGGAATTTCTGACTCAGCAATATCTGTTTTCTCATTTCAGATGCTGCTCATTGTATTCTGTGTCCCCAGGATCAATATCCAAACAGCAATCAAGATCAGTGTATCCCAAAGATTTTAACTTTCCTTTCTTATCATGAACCAATTGGAGTTGCTTTGGCTTCTTTTGCTATATCCTTTGCCTTTATCACATGCTTTGTGATATTAGTTTTTATAAAAAACTGGAACACACCCATTGTTCGAGCTAACAATCGGAATCTCAGTTGGGTTCTTCTTGTCTCCTTACTTCTATCTTACCTTTGTTCCTTGCTTTTTATTGGCAAACCTACTAAAGTGTCCTGCCTCCTTCAGATAACAGCTTTTGGCATAATTTTTTCCATTGCGGTTTCTTGTGTGTTGGCAAAAACAATCATTGTTGTTCTGGCTTTCATGGCTACAGAACCAGGAAACAGGATAGCAAAATGGCTAGGACAAAAAGTGGCAAATTCCATTGTCATTTCTTGCTCCCTCGTTGAAGGAGCAATTTGTGCTGCTAGGTGGCTGATCTCCCCTCCATTTCCAGATGTTAACCTGGATTCACCAACTGGGCAAATGGAAACAGAATGCAGTGAAGGCTCCATCAACATGTTCTATTATGTTCTGGGCTATTTAGCCTTTTTGGCCATCATCAGCTTTATTGTAGCTTTCCTAGCCCGCAATTTACCAGACACTTTCAATGAAGCCAAGTTTATCACCTTTAGCATGCTGGTCTTTTGCAGTGTTTGGATCTCCTTTATTCCAGTTTATCTGAGCATCAAGGGGAAGAAGATTGTGATTGTGGAGATATTTGCTATCTTGGCTTCCAATACTGGTCTTTTGACATGCATCTTCTTCCCCAAATGTTATATCATTATTTTCAGGCCTGATCTCAATACCAAAAAAGTTCATTGAAAAAAGTTTCAATTAAACCATTATATTAGCCCTGTTGAAAACTTGTATCCAGATGACAGTTTGCTTGCTAAAGCGTGAAATGCTTTTTGGGGTAACCCCATTGTTGTACTTATCCCCACCCCAACCTTTTCCTCGAACCCTACCCCGAATCCCATTCCCTATGTTGACCCTTCCTTCCCTCTAACTTTATAAAACCTAATAAAATATTTTCAAAAAAAAGAAAAGAAAAAAGGAAAACTTCAGTTCATTTCTTTCTTTTTCATATGTCCTTTTATTTAACTTAGGATCTGTAAATTCATGTTAGCTAGTAAATAATAATAATTGCTGCAGTTTGATAGACACAATTTATTAAAAAATGATTATACAATTTTACCAATTCCTAGAATTTTATTTTGGACAAAAAGTTTTTCCTGTTATAGGAAATTTATGAAACATCAATCCATGTTATAGAAGAAAATGGAAGAAACTTGATAATAGAAATAAGAAATAAATATGAAGATGTGATGTGTTTATTTTACTTTTTTTAATTCAATCATTCAGTTTCTTTTGTATTTTCATATCAGAAAATTATTTCATTAACAAGTAGCATAATGTATAGTGACAAATCTCAAGGAGGGATTGTCTGTTTTTGACAGCTGGTGTAATAATAACATCTGGTGTAATAATGCCAAGGGGCTCTCAAGTCTGTGCTCCTCTGATGTGGAGTTTTTGACTATCAAATGAAGACCCCTCTATCTGCATAGGGAATGTGTTGTTGTTGTTGTTGTTGTTGTTGTTGTTGTTGTTATTATTATTATTATTATTATTATTATTATTATTATTATTATTATTATTATTATTATTATTATTATTATTACAGCTATATATATGCTACCTCTGCAAACAGAGATGAAGCCCTGAATGTTCACTATCATGGCATCAGTGATGTCCAAACCATTTACTCAGATGGTGCTTTTATTGTAATGGGGGATTTTCATCAGGTCAATTTGAACTTTACAACCAGAGATGGGATTAAATCAGTCAATCAATCATAATAGAGCTGGAAGAGTGGCTATCCAGTCTCTTCTTAAAAACCTCGAATGATGAAGCACCCACAATGTTTGAAGACAAGCTGTTCCACTGGTTAATTGTCCTCACTATTAATTGTCCTCTCCTTAATTCCAGGTGGCTTCTCTCCTTGATTAATTTTCATCCATTGTTTCTTGTCTTGCTTTCTTCTGCTTTGGAAAATAAGTGGACCCCCTCCTTTTTGTGGCAGGTCCCCAAATACTGCTATCATGTCACCTCTAATCCTTCTTTTCTCTAGACTGGCCATACCCAATTTCTGCAACTGTTCTTCATATGTTTTGGTCTTCAGACTTTTAATCATCTTAGTTGCTCTTTTTGCACTTTTTCCAAAGTCTCAACATCGTTTTTGTAAGGTGATGACCAAAACTGGGTGCAGTATTCTAGGTGTGGCCTTATTAAGACTTTATAAAGCAGTACTAATACTTCACATGATTTTGATTCTGTGCCTCTGTTTAAAGAACCAAGGATTTTATTAGCTTTTTGGGCTGCTGCTGCACATTGCTGGCCCGTGTTTAAGTTATCATTCACTAGGATTCCAACAACTCTCTCACAGTTATTGTTTTTGAGCCAGGTTTCAGTGACTCTGTATTTGTGACTTTGGTTTTTCCTGCCTAGGTATAAAACCTTGCTTTTCTCCACATTAAATTCCATGTTATCGATCAAGATCTTTTTGGATCTTAAGCTTGTCTTCTAGGGTGTTGGCTTTTCCTGCCAGCTTAGTGTCATCTGCAGATTTGATGAATTCCCCTTCTATTTCCTCATCTAAATCATTTATGAAGATATTGAAGAGTACTGGGCTTAAGACAGAACCTTGTGGTACCCCATTACTTACTTTCCTTAATGTAGACGTAGTACCATTAAGGACTACTAATTGAGTATGGTTTGTCAGCCAGTTACAAATCCATCTGGTAGTGATGCTGTATATCCCACATTTTTTTAATGTATCAAGAAGTAGGTTATCTACTTTGCTGAATGCCTTTCTGAAGTCTAGTATACTATGTCCACAGCATTTCCCTGGTCTACTAATTTAGTAACCTGGTCAAAGAATGAAATAATATTGTTTTGGCATGATCTGTTTTTAGCAAACCTGTGCTGGCTGCTAATTATAACTTTATTTGTTTCTAGATGTTCTTTTTTTAGTTATGTTTTCCAATATCTTCCCAGCAGCTTGATCTGTAGTTTCCTGCGTCTGTTTTGTTTCCCTGTTTTGAAGATGGGAACCACATCAGATCGTTTCCAATCCTCTGGTAGATTCCTGGTGCTCCAGAATTTTTTTAAAGATATGGTACAATGGTTGTGAGATAATATCTGCCAGCTCCTTCAGAATAAATTATTAAATTTATTAATTTAATAAAAATTAAAATAAGCAAGAAAATGATAAGAGAACACCTGTCTGACCGTGATGAATATACAGTAAATCACTGGGAGCTGATGGATTACATCCCAGAGTTCTGAAGGAGTTGGCAGATGTTATCTCAGAACCATTGTACTATATCTTTAAAAAAATTCTGGAGCACCAGGAATCTACCAGAGGATTGGAAACGATCTGATGTGGTTCCCATCTTCAAAACAGGAAAAAAACAAATCAAGAAAAATATGAAAAATGAAATACTGCTAAGTCAAGTACAACCATACCTAGATTTTTGTTACAATTTCAAAGATGGATTAAATCTTCTGGAACAATCCAAACAAAAACAAATATCTTATCAACATGATTTTCACCATTCATTTTATACTTGGAATTCCTGAATAGAGTTGAAAAAGGCACAAAATCATTACACTTTTATCATGGACTAAAATTTTAGCACCTATCCTCCCATTCAAATTAACATGAAATCTTAATTACCATTAATTTAACCAATTTACTTACCATTAATTCCTATGGGGTTATTAATGGACTAAGCCTATAAAATTAGATAATCTTATGAGTTGGGATTTATGCTCTTTACATGATGCTGGCTGATAAGCTTAAAAATTAAAATATTTTTAAAATTATATTCTCTAGTCTCTAATGATTCTTGCTATTGTTTTGGAAGTCACCCTTCAGGTAATCTTCTTTGTGGCAGCCCCTCAAATACTGGAATACTGCTATCATGTCACCCCTATTTCTTCTTTTCTTTAGACTAGCCAAACCCAAGTCCTGCAGCCATTCTTCATATGTTTTAATCTCCAGGCCTTTTAGTTGCTCTTCTCTGAACTTTTTCCAAGGTCTCAACTTCTTTTTTGTAGTATGGTGACCAAAATTGGTTGCAGTATTTCAGGTGTGGTCTTACTAGGGTTTTATAAAGCAGTACTAATACTTTGTGTGATCTTGATTCTATGCCTCTTTATACAACCCAGGATTGTATTAGCTTTTTTAGCTGCTGTTGCACACTACTGGCTCATAGTCAAGTGATCGTACATTAGGACTCAAAGGTCCCTCTCATAGTTGCTGTTTTTAAGCCAGGTCTTGCCTAATCTGTACTTAAACTTTTGGTTCTTCCTGCCTAAAGGTAAAATTTTGCTTTTCTCCACATTAAAACTCATTTTGTTGGATAGGGCCCATTGTTCAAGTTTGTCAAGATCTTTTTAGATCCTAAGCTTGTCTTCTGGAGTGTTGGATATTCCTTGGTGTCATCTGCAAATGTTATGAGTTCCCCTTCTATTCCCTTAAGTCATTAATGAAGATATTGAAGAGTACTGGGCCTAAGACAGAGCCTTGTGGTAGCCACAATCATAGCATAAATTGTGGCTACAAGAAAAATGTTTATTGATCTCATTTTTTTTACATTCATAGTAGTATTAATAGTTAAAGTTAAAAAAAAACATTTCTTAAAAGACTTGATTGGTGTGTAGGGCAAATAGGAGTCACACCTAAGTGATTTTTAGAACAATGTTTAAAAAGACTTATTAAGATGGTATAAATTGCAATTGTCTTTACTGGATAAAATTTCTATAATTAAGATGAATGTTTTGCCAAATAATTTGTTTTTATTCTTCTTACTAATACATATTTGATGTTACATAGTACATATTACATTCCTTTTCTAGCCATTGATAAAAATTGTCCCATATTCTAAAGTATACTGAATCTTCTTTCTCTTTTATCTTCAATGTCAATCTGTTCATTTCTGCACAATCTAAAATTTTCTTAATTAATTCTTCCTCCATTGGTAGATTTTCATTTTTCTAGTAATGAGCAAATACTATTCTTGCTGCAGTTAATACATGTAAAATTAAGTATATACATTCTTTCTCATAGTTTCCTACTATTATGCCTAACAAAAACAATTCTGGCTTAAATTTTATGTCTTTTTAATCATTTTCTCTAACCATATGGGTATTTTTGACCAAAATCTTTTAGTTTTAGGATAGTAAGTACCTGGTTTTTGTTTACATTTTCAACATTTACTAGACATATTTTAAGCATTTTTGCTAATCTCACCAATGTTAAATGCCATCTATAAAACATTTTGTGTACGTTTTCTTTATAGGTCACCACTTTCATTATTTTAGAGTTTCTTTCTCATAAACTTTGCCAATTTTCTAATTCTATATCATATCCAAAGTTCTTTGCCCATGTTATCATTGTTTCTTCTACTTGTTCCTCTTCCATCTTTAAGCTTAACAAATGTTTATAAAGTTTTTTAAACAATTTTTCATCTGTTCTCAGCAGTATCTGGTCAAATTCTGTCTGTTCTTTGTAAAATCCCGTTGTTTTAACATCTTTTTCGTATCTCATTTGAATTTGCAAATATGGCCACCATGATAAATCAATACCCGGTTCTTCTAAATCTTGTCTATCAAAGTTTCCTCTACTATTGCATTAAAGTCTCCCATTATACAAAAAAATGATATTCCAATTCTAATATTTTTATATATAATTTTTAATAAAACTTTTCTTGTTTATCATTTGGTGCACATACTGCTACCATCAGTATCTGTTTTTGGTC